GTAATATGAGTCGATAGTTTTGCAAATTAAATAAATAATCTGGACCACAAATGTTCTGATGTTTGAAATATTACAGACATTTTGATCCGAAGTTTGGCGTCTATTATCGAATTCGCAGGGTTTGCCGCCATGATGGCAACTCATCAGTCGAGAGAAACACAAAAAACAAAACTTAAAACAAATATAAAAACAAATAACATAAACAATGAACTAACCGACAAAATATATTCAGATTAACAACATATGGAACATGGCCACGAATGTGAACAACATGCCTAACCATATATAAACAGAGGACATTAGAGATCGCTGCCACGTGGGAATATAAACCCTTTTTTTTTTATTCGATATGGATACTGAAACCCCTCCGCAAATTTAGAAAATGAGAAAATGACAATCCTTCCTCGCTTGCACATATTCTCGTACGAAATCATTTTACTTTAAGCAATTGAGAGAACTTAATAAACCTTTGTCCACGTGACCTCATGACCACCCGCTGTTCAAGAAAAAAATAACGGACGAAACAACAGATTGCTCGCGATTCGATAATCACCCAATTATGCATGGTAATTAGATAATTTACTCGTTTACTTGGTAGTTAGGTCGTTTACCTGGTTATTAGATCGTTTGGGAGATGGTCTGGTAGTTTCTTAAGGATAAATGACCCTTCTAGACAACTCTTCTTCCATAACACGTGATTTTTCTTGGCCAATATTAACCGATTCGTTGAAATAATCTTATTAAATCGTCTGTGAAGGAAGGAAGGAATATAGAAAATTGTGAATGAGAAGAAGGAGCAACGAAGGGAAGAAGAAGAAAGAAAAAGAAGCAACAGGAACAACGAAGGGAAGAAGAAGAAAGAAAGAGAAGCAACAGGAACAACGAAGGGAAGAACAAGAAAGAAAGAGAAGCAACAGGCAACGGAACAAACGAAGGGAAGAACAAGAAAACACACGAATATGCCGAAGGACTTTTCGCTGTTGCTTCGTCAGGGTAAGAAATAGAGACAGAGAGAGAGAGAGAGAGAGAGAGAGAGAGAGAGAGAGAGAGAGAGAGAGACAGATAGAGAGAGAGAGAGAGAGAGAAAGAGAGAGAGAGAGAGAGAGAGAGAGAGAGAGAAAAGAGAAAGAGAAAGAGAGAGAGAGAGAGAGAGAGAGAAAGAGACAGAGAGAGAGAAAGAGAGAGAGAGCAGAGAGAGAGAGAGACAGACAGACAGACAGAGACAGAGAGAAAGAGAAAGAGAAAGAGAGACAGAGAGAGAGAGAGAGACAGAGACAGACAGAGACAGAGAGAGAGAAGGAGAGAGAGAGAGAGAGAGAGAAACAATTATGGGTAAAACTTCCAGGTAGTAATCCTGTTGACACACATGTTTCTTTTTTCCCTTCTTCCTTTCTTCTTCTCTTCGTCCTCCATCTCTTTTCTTCCTCTCTTTCTCTTCCTCGATCTTTTTTTTTCTCTCTTCATGCTTATCCTTCTCTCCTCTTACTCCTTCTCTTCCATCTTCTTTTTCTTCTTCTCTTTCTCTTCCTCGATCTTCTTTTTTCTGTTCATTCTCCTCCTTCTCTCCTTTTCTCCTCTCCTCCTCCTCATTTTTTTCCATTTTTTTCCTTCTCTTTCTCTCTCTTCCACTCAACATCATTTCTACCAATATCTCTTTTTGCGTAAACTCACTTCAATTACACAAACAAAGTAAACACAAATAGGCCATGTGCAATATCTCATAATTCGCACACACTACGAAATACACTTTTATATATTTTTTCTATTCCGCTAGTCTCATTTATTGACCTTTATTCAACACTAACAAATAAAATAAATGTGGAAGAAAGGAAGGTAGAGGAGCAAAAATGAAAGAGATAATTGTCGCGTAGTGAAGAAAAGGAAAGAAAGAAAGAAAGAAGAAGAAGTTGTCGCGTAGTGAAGAAAAGGAAGGAGGAGGAGGAGGAGGAGGAGGAGAAGAAGAAGAAGAAGAAGAAGAAGAAGAAGAAGAAGAAGAAGAAGAAGAAGAAGAAGAGAAAGAAGAAAAGAAGAAGAAGAAGAAGAAGGAGAAGGAGAAGAAATCGGCAGCATGTAGGCGTGGCCATGTAGTGGAATATTCCAAACCACCATTCGGCTAAAGTGCTATTTTACAATTTACTGTAGTTGTACATGCACAATATATTTTTTTTATGAGTTGAATGGCAATATAATTTTCTTTTAATGAACTGAATAACAAAAAAATAAAAAAAATAAAAATAATAAAATAAAAAAATAAATAATAATGGGTTGAATGACAATTAAATTTTCTTTTATTGAGCTGAATAATTAATTTTTCTTTTAATGAACTGAATGGCAATTTGACTTTCTTTTAATGAGATGAATGACAATTACTTCAGTTCCCTCTGCCTGGAATTTCACTCCAGGTACGCCCACATAATCGCAATTGTATTTATTCATCTACTTATCTTCATACCTTATATATCTACCGTTTTTCCTTATACGTTTGTTCATTAGAAACAACTTCAATGATATATTGATTTTCTTGTGATTAATATATCAATTAATGTATTAATATATCAAGCACGTGATGAAGATTTAGACGAGATAGTCAATTTTGTTGTAGTTTTGATATTCGTCGAATCGAGCTGTAGATATTTGTCAAATCTTGTGAAATATGAGACAAAGTGTTCAGTCTCACATGATATGAGAGGGAAGTCATTTGGAGAGAAACTAATTTTTTACTTCTCTTTCACTTTTTCTCTCTTTTTTTTTTTTACTTTACTGCTGTTTTTCTTTGTTTTTTTGTTTTTTTTTTTTTCTTTTTTTCTCTTTCTTTGTTTCTCTTTTTTCTATCTTCCTTTTTGTTTCCTTTTTTTCTCTCTCTTCCTTTATTTCCTTTTTTTCTCTCTTCCTCTTTGCTTCTTTTTCTTCCTCTTTGTTCGTCTTATCATCATTATCCTTAATTTCCCAATTCCCTCTTTTTGCTTTCATTTCATCCTTTCGCATTTCCTCTTCCTCCTCCTCTTCTTCTTCCTCTCTTTTCTTTCTTCTTTCCTCCCCTCCCTCAAGTTCTCATTACCTTCTCTAACCACCACTTTCACTCCTACTATTTTTTTTATCTCTTATCTCTTATCATTATCGTTATTATTCCTTCTTTCTTAGCAACAAGAGTAAATAAACGATTGACTTTAGAACCTAATTTATGGCATTTAATCACGATTAGTCACCGAAAATTGCTTCAATCACGCGTGCATGTAGATTGTGAAGGTGTTGAAGGAGAGAGAGGAGAGGGAGGAGAGGGAGGGGGAGGGGGAGGAGGGAGGGAGGGAGGGAGGAGGGAGGAGGGAGGAGGGAGAGGAGAGGGGAGGGAGAGGAGAGGGAGAGGGGAGGGAGAGGGAGAGAGAGAGAGAGAGAGAGAGAGAGAGAGAGAGAGGAGAGAGAGAGAGAGAGGGAGGGAGAGAGGGAGAGGGAAGAGGGAGGAGGGAGGAGGGAGGGAGGGAGAGGGAGGAGGGAGGAGGGAGGAGGGAGGAGGGAGGAGGGAGGGAGGAGGGAGGGAGGGAGGGAGGGAGGGAGGGAGGGAGGGAGGGAGGGAGAGAGAGAGAGAGAAGGGGGGAGAAGGAAAGAAAGAGGGGGGAGGGTAAGGGAGAGGAAGAGAGTGAGAGCAGAAAGAGACAGAGAGAGGGAGTGAAAGAGAGAGAAAAAGAGAGAAAGAAGAGAGGGGGAGAGGGAGAGGGCAAGGGAGAAAAAGAGAGAGAGAGAGAGAGTGTAAATGGGAGTGAGACAGGGAAAGGAAGAGGAAGAAAGAGGGAGAGGAAGAGAGAGAAACAAACACAAACAGACAGACATGCAGACAGAAACACCAGAAAAAGAATAGAAAGAAAAAGAAAAACAAAAAAATAAAAAATAAACACGAAAATTAAAAAGAGAAAAGAGAGAGAAAATATATGTCACTCCAATTTATATCAACTAAAGTCCCATAAATATTGCAAACTAGATCTTAATTCTTTCAGTACAATATCCATGCATTTCTTTTCAAAATATTCGCCCGAAAAAGAAATATATATATTATTCATTTTTTTTATCTCTTTATCCATTTTTGTATTTCCTCTCACTTGCTTTGCCTGGCTCTACCTTTGCTTGTGTGTTTGTTTGTTTGTTTGTTGTTTGCCTGTCAATTCAACTCTTTATCTATCAATCAATCAATTTATTTCTCTATCAGTATGTCCATCTATTTGTTTATCTATCAATCAATTTATTTCTTTATCAGTATATTTAACTATTTGTTTATCTATCTATCAATCAATCAATTTATGTCTTTATCAGTATATCTAACTATTTGTTTATCTATCTATCAATCAATCAATTTATTTCTTTATCAGTATGTCCATCTATTTGTTTATCTATCTATCAATCAGTCAACTTATTTCTCTATCAGCATGTCCATCTATTTGTTTATCTATCTATCTATCAATCAACTTATTTCTCTATTAGTATGTCTAACTATTTGTCTATCTATCTATCAATCACTTATTTCTCTATTAGTATGTCTAACTATTTGTTTATCTATCTATCAATCAATCAACTTTTTCTCTATCAGTATGTCTATCTATTTGTTTATCAATCTCCTTATCTATCAGTCAATCAATCTATCTATTTGTCTATTTATCAACTTTATCAGTCTATCAGTCAATCTATCCATTTATCTATCTACCAGTCAATCTTTCTGGCAATCTCTCTATCAGTCTATCAGTCATCAATATATGTATTTATCTATCTATCAGTCAATCTTTCTATCAGTGTANACGACAAACAGCCGCGCTAACCGCATGCCCCAAACACCACTTCACAAGCAGCATACCCCAAGCAGCATACCCCAAACAGCACGTCGCTAACAGCATGCCATAAACCGGTTCCCCTTCCGCCCCAAACAGCGCAGCGTGTACAACGAGTCCTCCCAGACCTCGAACCACGGGCAGTACGTCCTGGTGACTGTTCCGAGACTCAACCGCAAGCCAGACGGAGTAAGTACGAACTCCTTAGAAGACGCTGTTTCTTTGTCTTTGTTTGTAGCCTCTTGAGCGAGAGAGATAAAGGAGGACAAGGACTGGAAGGAAGAAGGTCCTTGTGAGATTTTCTTGTCTTTTTTTTTTCTTTCTTTTTGAGTTTGTTTTTAGTTTTTTCTTCGTCCGCTTTTTGTTGTTCGAATGAGGTGCTTCGAACAGGCGTCTCGAGCGGTGAGTGTTTTGGCTGGGAATCAGGCCTTGGATATTTTTATGTAGTATTTATTTTGGTTTCAGGTCTTGATTTTGTTTTGTTTTTTTTGTTTTATCTCTTTTCAGGTATTATTTGTTTTTTTAATTCATCTTGATTTTCAGGTTTTTTTTTGTTTGTTTTTCTTTTTTCAGGTTTTATTCATCTTGATTTTCAGGTCTTGATTTGTTTTGTTTTGTTTTTCTTTTTTTCAGGTATTATTTGATTTTTAATAATTTATCTTGATTTTCAGGTCTTGATTTTATTCATTTTTTTCGTTTTTTTTTTTTGCTTTCCAGGTTTTTGTTTTTTTTAGTTTCTTTATTTCATTTATTTATTATAATTTTTATTTTACTTTATTCAGGTCTTACATTTTTTTAGGGGGGGGTGGGGGGGGGGGGTGGGGGTTTCTAGTCTTTCACATTTATTGGCGTTCGTTTTTATCAAAGGAAGAAGACGGAGGAGGAGAAAGATGAGAAGAAGAAAAGGGAACAGGAGAAGAAAGAAAAGCAGAAGAAAAGAGAAAAAGAGAAGGAGAAAGAAAGGGAGAAGAGCAAGACTAAGACCAGGACAAGGAATAGGAAAAAAATACAAAAGAAAAACATAAAAGAAAGAGAAAAGAGAAGGAGAAGAAGGGAGAAGAGCAAGACTAAGACCAGGACAAGGAATAGGAAAAAAATACAAAAGAAAAACCATAGAAATAATAATAATAATAATAATAATAATAATAATAATAATAATAAAATAAGTTCAATGTTAATCCCTTCATTTGCTGATGAAAAATCGTTCTTCCTTCTTCTTTTCACTTCTTTTCTTTCTTTCTTTTCCTCCAAACGTCATGGTTCCTTATTTATTTATTTATTCTTGGTCACGAACCTTCTTGATTCCCTGTTTATTTATTCATGTATTCTTTTTATTTATTTATTTTTTCTTGTCTCGAAACGACATGATTCTCTGGTCATTAATTTTATTTTTTATTGCGCTTGGTCTTGAAGCGTCACGAATTCCGTTTCCTTTTTTTTTATTTATATTTTATTTATTTTATTATTATTATTTTGAATTCCCTTTCCTTTTTTGTTTTTTATTTTTATTTTATTATTATTATTTTTCTACTCTCAAAACGTCGTGATTCCCTGTTTTTCTTTCTTTTTTTTCTATTCTCAGAACATCGTTCCTTTTATATTTTTATTTATTTATTTTTTTTATTATTATTTTTACTCAAACATTGTTTCACTCTCTCTCTCTCTCTTCTCTCTCTTTTTTTTTTTTTTTTTTTTTTTTTTTTTTTTTTTTTTTTTACTCAAAACCGTAATTCCCTGTTCATTTATTATTCTATTTCTTCTTTATCTCGATCCCTTATCTCCTATTATAATATATTTTTATTCATTATTTTTTTTCTCGAAACGTAGATTCCATATTCAAGAGACAATTTTTTTTTCATCTCGAAATGTCATGATTCGATATTCCTACATTTAATTATTTTCTTTCTTTCTCTCTTTTCATATCTTGAAACATCATGATTCCCTATTTTTTATTATTTATTTATTTCATTTTACTGTGTCTATTTTCCCCTTTATTGCTATCCACTTGTTCCTGTTTTCACTTTCTCGTATTTTTCTTCGTCTCACAAGCGTTCTAATTCCTTATCCAATTCTTCTACTTTTACTCTGTCTATTTTCCTTTGATTATTATAACACTAGTTCCTGTCTTCGTTTTCATATTTTTCATCCATCACAATGTCCTAATTCCCAATATTTTTTCTCTATTCTTCTTTGCTGTCTACATTTCCCCTTTATTATCATACAGTAATTCCTGCTTTTCACTTTTTCGTATTTTAATCATCACAAATACCTCTAATTCCCAATTATTTTTTATCTCTATTCTTCTTTTGCTGTCTATTTTCCTTTATTCCATACACTAGTTCCTGTCTTCGTTTTCAGTATATTTCATTCCATCACAAATCTCCTAATTCCCAATTATTATTATTTTTTCTCTATTCTTCTTTTGCTGGTCTATTTCCCTTTATTATCAAACGGTAATTCCTGCTTTCACTTTTTCGTTTTTTTCATCATCACAAATGTCCTAATTCCCAATTATTATTTTTTTTATCTATTCTTCTTTTGCTGTCTATTTCCCCTTTATTATCAAACGGTAATCCTGTCTTCGTTTTCGTTATTTTCTTCATCACAAATGTCCTAATTTCCCAATTATTATTATTATTTTTTCTCTATCTTCTTTTGCTTTCCATTTTCCTTTTTATTATCATACAGT